TGCGAGTAGTGTTTATATCGTAGCGGTACAAAATATGTATTAATATGTATATTACCATTATAGTTGATTATATAGATAAAGAAATTGCGCGAGAAGAACAAATGAATCGAAGCTGCTCTGAAATGAATACAAAATTTACAAAAATGTATGTATTCGCGAGAGCAACTCGTGTGAGGAACTTTCAGATGAATACGCGCCTTTACAGCTGCACATGCTAAGGTTGGAATAGCTCTTATTTAAAATTTTGAATTTTCTTTCTCGCGCCAACTCTCGGAATACAATATAAGAATACAAATATTGAAAAGCAAATTATTGGAATTTGAAACAAACAATTTTCTGCATACTTTTACAATAAAATTAGACCTAAGCTGAGCAAAATGGAACAATTGTTTATTATGGATAATAGGATATATTTTGTCAGGTTCTATGAGTATCATTACATACAATTTTTCTATACCTTTCGTTCAGTTATGTAATCTTACATCGCCTCATATACTCTTCGTTAATAATTCACAATAATTTATGGTAAAAATAAATCGTACACAATTTCGTTCAATATATTAAAGACACCTTTAAGTATTTACATATTTTACACATTTGAAAGTAGACAACGTACACTTTGCACATCATGCATTTTCATTAAAGTAATGTAAGTCATCTTAATAATTATTTCTCAACATCATCATTTTAAAAGCTTCTCTAAATTGAATAAGACGCATAGGGAAAAAAAGAAGATGCAAGAAGATGCAATGAAAAATAAATACAATACTTTAAGTTGTGTTTCCATAATAAAGTGACAAATTTTGTACTTGTGTCTTCTGACAGAAACTCCTTTTCCATGGTAGTTTTTGAAAGTTTCTGCTGCAGACTCTTCATATTTGAACTTAAATCCACACTATTTATCTCTTTTCTAAATATAATATGTAATCCGTAAAAACAATTTATAAAGACTGAAAACATCAAGCAATTATAACAACCTGTTACCTCATCATTGTACAAAAGTTATTGTCAGCTGTTCCAGTGTCCATGTCATCAATATCTTCCTGGAATGCTTTTCTTAAAGTTTGTATACTGAGATAAATAATATTTAATTATTACCATATATGTCCAAACATTGTAAAAACATTTAATTAATAAAAAAATACATGCAAAAGTAATTATATAAATATATGCAATACATTATCTAATAAAACAAAATGGGAGTGGCAATTCAAACATATTTGGATGGAAATATTTCTTGTAAGTAAATTGTAAATCTTTTGTTTTGTGTTTGTATGTCTTATTATGTTAGTTTGGTATAATGTAAGATGAAACAGTGAATAATTATATCTAAGTCAGTTAATGTCAAAAATAAAATTCAATTGTAAGCATGCAAAGCGAAAATAATGAAATTAGGAGAATATTCTACAGAATATTACTAATATTAAATCAAGTTATATTATGATTTTAATGACACTGAATATGAAAAACTAAGAAATTGAAAAAATATAAATAAATACATTTCCAGTTTTTTCCTTAGCTGTTTATTAGTTTTTTTCACGCTGTCTGTTTCTGAAGCTTGTTTTCTAATATAATTGAGTTGCTGTTTCATTTTATCAATGGTTTGCAATAAATCTTGTGTTTCTCTTTTCTTCCCTGGAATTTGTTTTTCTATGGTTTCAGCTTTTTCTGAATAATACTTGATATCTTTCACTTTCTGAGCTAGTTGACATGTTAGTTTATTAACTTTATCTCGTAAAGAAAGTATTTCATCTGTAATATGATCATTATTACAGAAATTAAAATATAATCTATGTATTTTATGTGATGGGGTCTTCTCTCTACATTGTGGGCAAGTTGGCGATCTGTATAGGAAATTAAAATCAATTAAAATAAATATGTCTTTATAAATTTTATAATAATCTTTCATATATGTGTATGTATGTAGTTAACGAAAATAAACTGAAGTGACAATGTGATAGATTGTCAAATACAAAGAAAAGAAAAAAGCTAGATGACAATTACTATTATCAAATAAATTTCTTTCTTTTTTCGATATTCTTGCGTTTTTACTTATTTTTTCAACACTTATAAATTTATATGTAACTGAACTATTTTATATCTTAACTAATACAACTTTGTATCTCTTCCTTTGTTGCATATAGGGCATTCAATATGACTTAATGCACTGAATAAAAATGCTTTAGTCAACAGCTGTTTCTGAGATATAATGGAGCGTGATCGTCATAATTTATTGTTTTTTAAACGACAACAAAAAGATGTGCTTACCTTCGTAACCACTCAGACAAGCAAGTGAAATGGAATATATGCCCACAAGGCGTACGAAATATATCGTCAGGTGGTGTTAACAAATCAGTGCATATAGCACAAGTAAAATTCATTTTATAGAAAAATAAATAGAAATTTTTAAATAGAAATAATTTAATTTAATGGTTTGTAATTAAATTTTAATACAATAAATCTCGAATCGTAGAGTTTACATACAGAACTCACAATGCACATAGTTGAATATGAAAGTTAATTTCCTCAATTGGACCACAGAGGACTCTTACTCTTAACGTCTTAACTTAAAGGCGCGTGTCTATCTGAGAGTGAAACCATATACAAATTGCTTCGAGTTGCTCTGAAAATCCAATAGGAAACCGTTTTGTATTTTGAAAGTACATAGCTCTGTGCAATCTGCGAGTCGTGTTTATATCGTAGCGGTACAAAATATGCATTAATATGTATATTACCATTATAGTTGATTATATAGATAAAGAAATTGCGTGAGAAGAACAAATGTATCAAAGCTGCTCCTAAATGCATACAAAATTTGCGAAAATGTATGTATTCGCGAGAGCAACTCGCGCGAGGAACTCTGAAATGGATACGTGCCTTTACAGCCGCTCATACTAAGGTTAGGATAGTTCTTATCTAAAATTTTTGAATTTTCTTTCTCGCGCCAACTCTCGGAGTACGATATAAGATCACAAATATTGAAAAGCAAATTGTTGGAATTTGAAACAAACAATTTCCTGCATACTTTTACAATGAAATTAGATCTAAGCTGAGAAAAATAGAACACTTGTTTATTATGGATAATAGGATATATTTTGTCAGGTTCTATTAGTATCATTACATACAATTTTTCTATACGCTTCGTCCAGTTATGTAACCTTACATCGCCTTATATACTCTTCGTTAATATAAAACACGTATATAAACATAGGTGGAGTGTATTGGTGTTTACAATAATTTATGGTAAAAAAAATTGTACACAATTTCGTTCAGTATACGCTTACGCGAAGAGAATGTTTCTTAAAAGTGAGTGATACACAATTCTCAGTATCGCGTTCTACTATATGTATACTTATACAGTCGGTTAACAAAATATTTGGACATGAGTATCATTTTTTAGTTTTAGCTCGATAATCTCGATAAAGAGACAACGATCGCTAACAATGCATTAATGATATATTTTATTACAGTATACACATATGAAAAATAGTAAGTTCATTTCTATATTATTTATGATTATTTAAATATTCGCAGGTGAATCTAAGAACCAAATTTATATTTTAAAAAAGAAGAAGCGCGTAAATAATTTGATAAAAAAATCTGTTCGTACTCGATTAATTAATACATAAAAACAGCTGTATGCAGTCAATTAATTTCCTTCATCTTTCGTATGGGTATGCTGTATTATAATACGGTGTAATACATTTCCTGGATCGTTGTACATGTATATGCGAAATACGGAGCTATGATATCGAAGTTAATCCATTGTTCAAATATTTTCGTGTCCGACCATACGTACTGCGATTTTCAATTATGCCTTACCAATTAATAATACTTTGGTATAAAATATTGAACTGTTTCGTATTTTCTCGAATAAATCGACTTGGAAAATTATCGTAGAAAAGATTGTGACTGTTTATTATACAGAACAACCGAATAGAAATAGTAGAAACGACAGAGTTGTCTTTTTTTGTAGAATCATATCGGCGTATAATTATGAGAAAAGACAAACATTAGATACACAATCTGATCAGAAGATCCTTACTATATCTTGCAATGTATTTTAGAGTGTGCGAAAGGTGGCCAGAGCAAAGAGTATGCTTTATAGATGAATCAAGATTCCAATCGAAAGAATAACACTTTACAAACATTAGCAATAAAGTTTTCACGAACCTGTGAAATCGATAGTAGCTAAAATTGAACACGAGTGTAGCAAGTCAACGAATGTATTATAGTTCTAACGTGGCAAGTCTTTCACAGAATTGTCGCCATTTAACTTCTATAAATTCGAATGCAAACGATTATTGCCAAATCCCGAGAGATGTTCATTACTTTTTCATTACAATAGACGATCCGATTACAGACGATGCGAAATCATTACGTCGAACAACGAGAATTTAATGGAGAGTTCAAACATACATCTAAGAAAACGTTTCGAATAGGAATTATTTGTTGTTTTTGTTTACTTTTCTACCGACGGCTAGCACACATTATGTTTCGTTTTAGTGGAATCCGTAGATTCGCATAGAAAAAACGTTTTACGCAATTTCTACAAGATTTCTTTCACGCAAATAAATCACGACGAATAACGGTTCATTTGAACTGAACTGCAGAATGTCACTATTATGTGCTTCTCGAAGGAAAATAGCAGAGGTCATAATAGCTGTCCACCACATTTTTGCTGTTTAACTTGCGGCATAGCAGCGGGGTGGACAGCTATTATGATGTCAGTTATTCATTTTAGAAAAACAGACTACAAATGATTTGTTTTTGTGAAATCTGAATGCACGATTAAATTCACAAAGAATAATTCGAAGCAACACTGTGTAATCAGACTTTTCTGTACAGAAAATTGTGCGCACTGATTTTTGCAGTGAATTTTTTATGTTCGGAGATTCTTGCATTTGAGTAGGCGCATCGGTGGCCTCCGATTGCATGCAAGTAGGTACATGTGTCTCTATATATGTATATTATATATACATATAAGAGAGAGTAGAATACACGCACACACGGTACGCTCTCGCACATCTACGTGCACACGCACTCGCACACGCACGCACACGCACATACGCGCACACACACACAAACTTGCCAATATTTTTAATGACACATGTTGGAAACGATTCGGACAAACGGTTTGTTCGTACGTTTGTGCGAGCCTGTGCGCTCACGAGGTATTTCATACCATTTGAGATCCAATCTAGCAGTGAACTAAGTCACAAGAACAACGAACAAAAGAGTTCATACGAATATAATGCCCTATTTGATTTTGTTCCCAAGATGCGGCCATTTACTGTCTCAGAAATCTTTAAATTACCAAAAGTTTATAGTTTCATAAATAAATGAATGAATTTTTCATTTTTATATTTCATAAATTTTTAAATTACAAGAACAATCTTTCAAATTAGTAATTTTTCTGTGACAAAATCTCTGCTCGTTTACGTTACAGATATGCTACATAATTAATGTGCAATTTGGATATTCTTGCAATGAATTCTTTATCATCTTAGAGCACCTTCAAGTATTTACATATTTTGTATATTTGAAGGTAGAAAACGTACGTTAATAATCATTTCTTAACATCATCATCTTTAAATTAGATAGTTCTCTAAATCGAATGCGATGCATTGAATAAAACAATGAACTATTTTATATGTTACTTAAAAAGAAGATGCAATGAAAAATAAATACAATACTTTATGTCGTGTTTTCATAATAAAATGACAAATTTTGTACTTGTTGTATTATCCTTCATATTTTCTACAGTATGTCCGTCAAAATTTTTCTTACATGTAGAAACTTTTTGCATGTTGAAATTTGGTGCACTTATACTGGAAAAGGCATGTAATGTGCAAGATATGCAAAGTGTACATTTTCTGCGTTTAATGTAAGAATATCTACAAAAAAATCTACGGTGTTATACTTCAGCATATGCTACACTTGTGCATTTCCTTTAAATTATATGAATTTATTTTTCAATAGGATTTTCTTTTCGACTATTTACTTCTCCCTTTTTTCACGCTGTAGTTTCAAAAAGTCTGTTCTGAGTGTGAAACATTTCAGTAATCTTTCTGCAACAAATATATCAATGCTGTACCATTCTGTTGTGATCTTTTCTTTGTGATGTTAGTATGAAAGCGATTTAGGTTCGTGAACAAGATCAAACCGGGTATATACGTCAACAAATTTTAACGTTATTTTATGTTGTGCTTTGTTTATTGCTCAAACGGTTCCAACATACTATGAAACACCGAATATACCCAGAGTGATACTGATTCTCCTCGACAATCTGCAGACGCGTATTCAACGGGGTAAAACAGAATAAATATGGTATAAAAAATTCATTATAACTGTGTTTATAAGAAATGCATGCAGATACTGTTTATTAAGCAATTGTAAATAAAAATTGTCATTAATATTCTGGAGTTTACATGTGATTCATCAGAAATCGATTACTTTGCGTGCATTAGTTAGAAATCATGCGCTTTAAGAAATGACCTTTATCGAAAATTATTATCTAACGAAAATCTTTCGAGAGAAACATATTTTTGAAATTTCATTTTTTTCGAGGTACATATATACAAGATTTAAATACGATTGTGACATTATTTATAAATAGACCGCGGATTTTATGTATTTAGAACAAATATGAATGGATGCAATAAAAATCTGTGGAGGTATTAGAAGAATTTAAGAACATTCTCACATTATTTCCAACTCATTCGAATTATCAAAAGAAAAATTAATTAATTCTTGTTTCATACAAGTGACAGGAAATAGTAGAAAATGTATATTTTGTAAAAAGATCCGCAATCCAGTTTTAAGAGACAACGATAAGATTTTGCTGAAATTCATTGTTCACAATATTCTCTCGATTCGTATTTGGATTGATTTTCATTTGTTCTTATCGAATGGACCAAAAAGTTACAAATTTTAAGCGACTCGGCAAAATGAAAGGATTAAAGATCTTTGTCAACGAGCTCAAATAACATTCAATCCCCTTAATTACGTCGATGATGGGGATGTTTAGGTGATCGTACACGATCCGGGAGTGGCCAGACGTTTCTACAAACCTTCGATTCGATCTTAGCCTGTCGAACGCTCGCATTCTCCGCCGCACCTCGCGCGTTCACGCAGTTTTGCGAGAAGAACAGGCAGCACTCTGCAAATTGAACATTTTACGCGAGTATTTACAAATATACACATTACACGCAACTGTACTGGGCAAACAAAGTAACCATTGGAAACGTATTGAATACGAGATTCGACCAATTTCTGCGTACGGTGCTTGACGGTTGTCGTGGCTGCTGGGAAATTAATCGTCCTCCTCGATAATAAATGTGTACTTTCAAAAGTTTCGTGGAAACGAACGTTTCAGTTTAGTTTAACGAGCTCTTCTTATGCGTGCAGTACATAATCTTCTTTTTCACAGAGCCGTATGTATGTGCTTCTGTCCAAGAAAATCAAAAACTTTCCCAAATAGTGAGTTGGAACTGAGACGATGCGGAATGAAAGTAATAAACACAAGTGAGATATGCTTGAAAATTGCATGAAAGACAAAGACGAAATACAGTAAATTCTCTCCAATTGTCACTCGGCTTGTAAACAAAAATGGACAATTTGGGAATCGTATATCCTCTTCCCAAATTGCCCATTTTTGTTTACAAGTCGAGGGACAATTGGAGAGAATTTATCGTAGATGAAGGAGTCGCGATTAGTGAAATCAAATGAAGTTAGTCGACAGTTAGTCGCAATTGGTACACCTAATTCATACTGTTTTCTTAAAAACGATTATGGTACACTCATAAATTATGTATAACAATTCTAGTACAGGTTTTGCACTCCAAATTGATTCTTTTGTCGACCATATTCACCTCTGTGCACTCTAAATTGATTCCTTCGTAGATCACGTTCATTTTTTTGCACTCTAAATTGATCCTTTTATAGGTCACATTCATTCTTGTGTAATTCAGATTAATCCTTTTGTAGATCATATATTCATTTCTGTGCACTTCAAATTAATCCTTTTGCAGATCACATTTGTAACCTTCGAGAATCAAATTAACCCTTTTACACAGCCCACTCATCTCTTCGCAAATCAATTTTATGTTTTTCGTAACATGATTACTAAAAGATCGACGATTGTTTCTCATTCAATTCTTAGATTGAATATGTATTTATATATATAGTCATTTATGAAATAATGCAAATTTCATTACAAGTAATTAATCTTCACTAACCTTCAATGAGTATTTATAAAATGTCATTCAGTTTTTAAATTTAATCTTCAGTAATTATTTATAAAATGTCCTTCAATTTTTAAACTTTATCCATCGTTGATCTTCGATAATTGTTCATAGAATGCAACATCATTTTTAAATTTAATCTTCATTAATTTTCGATAATTGTTCATAGAATGCCGTGTACAATCTTTAAATTATAATCTTCGTTGATCTTCGGCAATTGTTTATAAAATATCCTTCAATTCTTGTATTTGACAAGAATTTGATTTGCAAAATGATGAATGCGATCTACAGAGGTAGATTAATTTGGCGTGCGAATGTAAATACGATCGATAAAACGATGAATTCGTTGGTCAAAAATGGTAAGCACGACCTAGAAAAAGCGATCAGTTTCGCGTGTGAAACCTGTAAATGTGAAGAACGAAAGAATAAAAGAGAGATTGTGTCTCACCGATGCCTCGATACGTGACACCGTGGGAATTTCAAGGGTGTTGCAATTCGTATTCCAAAAATGAGTGATGCACTTTTTATTGGTATTCTAATAGAGACGGTTGAAGTCGGTACAGTCGTCGGAGATCATTGAATCTTAGAGTCGAATACGAATAAGTGTATTTGATTAATACCGTAACGCGTGTATACATATCGTGTAACAAGTGGCAAATAAACATTCATATTATAATTAGACGAGATATTTCTGTTCAGCTACGGTCAGCCTTTCTTGTGGTGATGTTTCATTCGTTTCGCGAATGCCTCTGCTAAAAGTGAACCGAGTTTTTCATCGAGGATTCCACGGTCTGAGTAGGACGTTATAAAAAATAAATGGAATTCATGAAAATTCAATTAGACATTTCGCTATGCTTCTCCGAAGCCTCCGCGGAGGATCGCCACTCGATCGACACTGAATCGAATCAGGTGGATCGATGTAACATCGCCGGAAAATGTGTTCGTCGGAGTCCGTACCTCGCAATCTCGTGTTATCCGTTTACAAGTTGATTTTCTTGGAAAAAATTGATCGTATGACAATCGACGCGTTCCCTCGAATTTGTGATCCGTATGAAGCAACTGATTAGAAATCGATACTCTCTACACGTTTGTCCTCTTAATTTAGGCAGTAGTATTGTTACGTTTCTTTTGAATTGTCTTGAAACCCTGCTCATTAACACTTTAATCTATTTTAATCTAACGTGACAGAGTGAACATTTGAAAGGACACACTTATTACGGTTACTTTCCTAATTCAGTGACACCTTAAAGCATTATTTGGCACGTGTTATTAGAATATGTCTTACAATACGATAGAATTTATGCAACGCTTCTCTCTCTCTCTCTCTCTCTCTCTCTCTCTCTCTCTCTCTCATCACTCGCTTTTCTCCGCCGTTAACGTCGCAACATCTTCCTATTTATAATAGCGCTTGCTTTTTGGTTCGCCGTCGTTTAGTTTACACATAAAACACTCATTTACAACTGCACTACTATTTAAAATGTACACCAAGTGTTTCTGTGTTACTCTTTGAATAACACATGCAAAAAATGCCGGTCATTTATAACGTTTCCCTTATGTACTCGAATAAATTTTATTTTGTGCGGTATAGCTTTGTAGAATGTTCACGGAACAGAGTCAGTTTTCTAAATGTATTATCCTCTATAAGTTACAAGAAACAAGAACCAATCCGTCTTGAAAAATACAATAACGATATCAAATTTGTCAGGTAACATTGAATTATTTTTATCCTCTAACTCGTATTTAGTGTTTTCTTTTTTCCATGTCAGCACAGAGCTCCGTCGTTCTCCGAGTAATTACAAAATAGAAAACGGTGTCGTTCGAGACAGTGCTGTCCAGGCTTCTCTCGTCACCTTTGCCACCTTCTTTACCCCAGCATAACAACATCTCAACGAAATTAACCGACATCCGCGGCCGAGCATCCCCTTCGATCAGGCATGGGCATCGAGCACTATAGAGCAGTTGGGAGCATTTTGAGCCACGGTGTTCCGATCGGTCAGCGTTTCAAGGCATTTCGATGCCAGAGAAAGAGATAGAGGACTGTCTATCTTGATCCCTCTCTGTGATCGACGAGGGCTCTGTTCCACAGGACAATCTCTGCCCATGCCTGCTCCGGGTTCTTGCCTTTCGTTGATGTCGCCATGCTTTCACCGGAGCTTTTTTGCTCGCTGCTCTAGGAACGCTGCGAGCAGAATCGATCAGACTTACTTCGACTCTCTCGACTTGTTGCGATTTCGTTCTACCGATTCGACTTTGCTGGGAGATAGTCAGACACAACGGGTATTCGAACATTGAAACAGTCGAGGTTACAACTTTCGTGTGGACAGCAATACGGAAACAAGGAACGTAGCACCCTCGTTGGAGAAACATTCGTTTAATTTGCGCTACGTTTTCTTTCACAGTTGATCAACACTTTCTTGTCCTTAATAAATGTTAAAAAATGTCCCGTGTTCTTGAAATATGTGTCTGTAATACGATTTTCCTAAATTTGTAAAAACAATGACGTTATCTGTGAGCTTCTGAGAAAATTTAATAGGAAAAAGAAGCAGCGAGAACATTGGAAAAAGTTCTGTTCAAATTTAGATATATTGGTACGTTATTTTCAAGTTATTGAACACGTTATGGAAGGAAGTATACTTCTATTTTTCTTCAGTTTGTTGCGATTGAAGTAAAAAAATTTGTATCTTGCAGAAACATCCGCAGTTATATATATATTTTTTTAAATACGTGTGCATACTTTCGTGTAAAGAGAAACTGTAAATAATAACCTTTAAATAAATATTGCTGTCGAAAGAACTGGTTATTATGTCTATCATGATAATCGTAGTAACAAGTGCATGTTAACTGTTTTCTAGATTATCGTTCGTTGTTCCTGTTTTCCTTTCATTCATGCTTTCTTCTGATCAGAAAGAAGATATAATAATTATCCAAACGTTGCCTAATTTTAAGAAAATGGATATCTTCCATTTTATGAATGAATTACTATCCACGAACGGCATTTTGTGCCTCGGACATACAAAACTTGTCTGACGTACTTTTGTAATTGGCTACATTTGCATTATACATTTTCAAATAATTATAATAGTAATTGTAATAACAATAATATCGTAGAAACCCGTAGACACTTTATATTAATTTATACACACAATTTCACATGAAATGAACGAAACGATTATTATAGAAAACAATATTTCTTATTACCTCTATAAGATATTTGTTAAAATTATGTTTATTTAAATATGTATATTTAATACTTTCGTCAAATGCTGGTTGCTTAAGGGATTACCGGATGTATCTGACCACCATTTTCTATAACAAGAGAACTCGTCGAAGAACTTACGAAGTTTACATAATAAGACTGAATCGAGTTCGACGAATTTTTAATCAAAGCGTAGCCAATTCTTTTTTCAAGCCAAATTTCTTTTTTTTTAGCCAATTCTTTAATCAAAGAGTTTTATTAAATGAACATTAAGAAACAATTCTCGAACGAAACATACTACATTAGCAATTAAGCTTCTCCTACGGCAATACTTTACTTTTCTTAAACCGCCTAGAAAAGTTTCACCAGCTTAGATTATGGTTGCCGTCACATGATCCGTAGAAGCATCGCGATCAAACGACAGAGTCGAAGTATTAGATCCGTGATCGCAAATCGGGCGGGCTGGACTCGTGGAATTATTTTTGTCACCGTGTTCCGATTATGGCAACCCGATCCTCCCCCGTGGACAACACCGCTCGAAAAACTCGCGGAACGTTTCTCGTCCTCGAAATGAACGCAATTCAGATGGAAGATTGACTAAACATTTGTGCGCAGAAACCGTCCGACCAACCGATCGGTAAACGCAAACGTCGAAACGTCAGAAGTGAAACGGTTCGTCTAAAGATTCGACCGATTGTTTCGTCTCTTTTCTCGTTTGTTCTCATTTTTGATTTAGAATAAGTCTGGCCGTATCGCATTCGATACGTACGATCGCGAGACAGTACATCGTTTTGCGGAAGCTGACTTTATCCCGCGAACTGGGGAAAGGCGCTAGTTCACGTCCGCTCGAATGTCGTTCGATCATCATCATCGTCGTCATCATCATCATCATCATTATCATCATCATCATCATTATCATCATCATTATCATCATCATCGTCTCATCATCATCATCATCATCATCGTCAACATCATCATCATCATCATCATCATCGTCAACATCGTTACATCGTCAACATCGCCTCATCGTCAACATCGTCTCGTCGTCAACATCATCATCAGACGCGAATCATACATCTGTTTTTTGGCACCGTCACCTACTATAATAATGTGCCAAATATCTTCCCCCGTTATCTCGGTCTTTCCTTTGTACAATTCAGTATTATATTTATAAGGATTATTTCCATGGCAGTATTCACGTTGCATTGCCTCAAATGTGGAAATCCGAGCTGTCTCGCGTAAACTAAAAAAACCACGGTGAAAATCGCCCGGCACTCGGTTTCCAGCGGTTTACCTCGATTTAAAAAATTCCCTCGTCCCGTTTAAGTACAATAATATTCTACCGCGGTGGGTCGTCGCCGCACGCGGATCACCCTCGGTACAACGACGTAAAAATAAATAATACTTATGTCACTATTATTCGAGAAAAATCCTTGGTCGAATACAACAATACACTTATTATTTAGCCGCGGTTCAACCCGGGAAAAGAAAATCGAAACCAGCCTGTGGAAAAGTCGAACGGATCGAACACTCTTTGTTCTTAGCAACAACGATCGGGACGCAAAACGCGCCTCTCTCTCTCTCTCTCTTTCTCTCTCTCTATCTATCTATCTATCTATCTCTCTCTCTCTCTCTCGATCGCTTAGTTTTTTTTCCTTTTTTTCCCTTTTTTCGTTTATCTCCTTTAAATCGAGTTGTTCTTCGGGTTCAGCTGCGAGAACATCCCACTCCTGTTCCTGTTATGCCACTTGCACTTCAGTATTCGCACATAGGTTCTTCGGAACGCCGCGTTGCATAGGGCATAACACATCGGGTTCACAGTACTATTAATGTAACAAAGATAATAGAAAAAGTCCCACAGTGGTTGCGGTATGTACAACGAACAGGCTGTGATGGATTTGATCAGAACGAGGATATTGTACGGTGTCCACGTGATGATGAACGCCAGCAAGATGGCCGACAACGTCTTCGCGGCCTTACGTTCCCCCTTCTTGTCCTGAATGTTTTTCTTTTTCGTCGCGGCGACCTTGCTCGCGGCACTTTTGCTGGCCGCCACCGGTTGCTTCGGGATGTTCCTCATGCCCAACGGCATCCTAATGTCCGGCATTTGCGACGGCCTCCTGGTCAGCGTCGTCGGGCTCTCGCAATGGTACATTTTTATGCTCGGCTTCTCCGTGTACTTGCCCTTCTCGCTGCTGTCATGTGTGGGAAACCGGATTAGAATTGTGTAGACCTACAATTGTTCAACATTTGTAACGGTGTGAGTCAGTTGCCTGGTCTGCTGCGCGACGAAGGAATTAACGGTTTAACATCGAGAGACATTTTGTTACCAGCCATGCATGCAGCTCGTATACGGGTCTTGGTGCACAGAACGAACGTAACTGTTATAATCAACGCGACAAAAACCGACGGATCTTTTGCATTTATGCCGGCATGTAGGTGAAATGTAAGATCGCGAGGACGCATGGAGGATTATGCAGGGTGTCCCGAAATTATGGCATTTCCGGAAAATAAGAGGTTCCTGAGGCCATTTGAAGTAACTTTTTCCTTTGCGAAAATGCAACCCGCGGCTTCGTTTACGAGTTATTTGAATAACAAATAGTGGCCAATGAGAGGCGAGATGGGCTGGGGCGGAGCGACCGACACAACGAGCGGCCAAAGACCAATTGCGCTAATTGGCTCGGCCGCCTAGCGCTAGGCGAGCTCGTCTCTCATTGGTCACTGTTTTTCGCTAATAAATCGTAAACGAAGCCTCGGATTGCATTTTCGTTGAGGAAAAAGTTACTTCAAATGACCTCAGGAACCCCTCATTTCCTGGAAGCACCATAATTTTGAGACACCCTGTATATCGTCGGGCCGTTCTCAACATATCGAAATTGCGAAAAGGAACAATTTGATTTTGCATTGATTGCCGTTTCTCGCGGTCGTACTGGAAAATTGTATCGTTCAGTCGAACGGCGTCCGCGAGAAAATTTGTTTCCGTTGCTTATAACAGTCCGCAAAGAGAAAAATTCTACTTCGGTCGCGCGAAATTTTTGTAGTTCTGGATGAGAGAAATTGTAATTACATTAGGCAGGAACCATAACTGTTCCAATCGATACGAACGAAATCGTGTTACTTTGATTCGAAATTTTTTTGTTCCAAATGATAGTTGTATGCGAGGAAAATTCTCTTTTCGTTTTCCATGATCGTCACCGATTTCTTTGAAATTACATATCTCGAATATGCACACGTATCATAGAAAGTCGTAGGTCATCGGAAGTTGGAAGAACATTTAAAAAAAGAGAAACATTTTGTTAAAATCTCAGAGACGCCTCCATCTTGTCGTAATTTATCATAAGTTGTCCCCCACAGGACATGCTTTGCGGACTAATAATTTCTACGCAAACCAACCTACTTGACGATTCTAAATCATACATTGTTAGCTTTATGAAAAAATGGTTAACATATCAATTATAATTGTTTATAGAAAAAGAAATGGCTAAAAGAGCCGTACGGTATCGATGAGATGCGAGAAAACAGGCACTGAATGAAATATAAATCAAGTTGAAATGCTACAGTTTAATCATTGCTGCATGTACGAGATGTTATTGTAATACTCGAAATTTTCAGCGAGACATAAAGTCAGTTTTCCAAATGAGATTTCCACCGTTTCGTATCGAATTTCAATAAAGCATCGAACGCGGCTTAAAAATGGCACTGTACCAGCCGGGATCTTTTGTTAATAATTACCGTTAGCAAGAATTTAATAATTCAACGTCTTTCATTTAGATCTGATCAACTAGATTGCGGATCTCTATGCATCCCGTGCCACATGCGAGTCTGTAAAATGCAAGAGAACGTGCATGTTAACATGGATTTTCCAACGATACATGACAAATCTTTCTCCGCCTCAGATTTCCACGGAATAATTCATTTAAAAAAAGAACGAGAATTTCCATAAAGCTCAGCTGTCCACTGACAACGCTATTTCGGTGGTGGATTGACGGAATATCACATAACATCTTGCGCATGCGATTTTCTGCAGAGCCGTGCCGCCGCGCTTCGAGCAAAACACGAGTCACTTATCGTATTAGAAAAGTACGTCGAGCTACTATAAATGGACAAACTGTGCACGATCATGCTCTAAAAATACATATATCGATACGTGCAAACGAAATATAACGATGAATACGAAGATACGTGAACAAATGCCAGTATAGTATAAGAGCGTCTCTTTTACGAAGATGAACGACGTATGAAAAGAAGAAAAGAAAAGAAACAAACTTTTATCTAGGCAGTAATTTATTCGCAATTGCGTAGGAAAATATGCATTCGCATGAAAGTCTAGGGTCGAATTATAATTAGACCGCGGATTTGATGTATTTGTGAGAAAGATTAGTACAGTTATTTCTCCCTAATTCACGCTCAGATTGCGCACAAAAATGGACAATTTGGGAAGAGGAGATACGATTATTCCAGCATTGCGGATAACTATAAATATATATAATATAACTATAAATATAATAAAATAATAATGATAATAAAATATATATAATATATAATATGTATATAATAATAAAATAATAATTATTATAAAATAATCTCCTCTTCCCAAATGGTCCATTTTTGTGCGCAATCTGAGCGCGAATTAGAGAGAATTTACTATAGATCGAATTCAAAGCGGTATCTTCAAAAGAATTTGATGATACCAGAGTGTTACGATCAACTCATTAAAATTATTACGAAAGGAGATAAATGTTTATCAAGCTCCTGCATCTTGCAGTAAATGCAGACAGTAAACTTTCATTTTGCATAAAGATCCGCAGTCGAATTATAAATGCATTAACCATATGAGAACTGTGTATCTTATTTCAGATGCTGCAAAACGCATACACAACAAGAGATCAGGATGGATTCTTCATTTCCATCATTATTTAGATCATTGGTGTCTAATCGAATTCTGCGTGGAAAATGCGAAGAGTCAAATGATGGGCAGATGGAAATACCGTTGCAATCGAAAAGTCTGAAGGTTTTGCAGTGGAATCGAATTATATTGGTAATATAAAATGCAAAATATGCAAAAATACAGAAACTGCGCAGTAGCAAGTCGATTTGTCTGCTCTCTAACGAAACTTATGCGAATCGCGTTTTTGCCCTAATGTGGAATCTTAGAATTGTTCTGTCTTTTCGTTCACTTTTTTCCGGGTCGGCTCTAAAAGCGCACTGTGTAGGACAGCCGGCTGCTACATAATTAACGTTATATTTACCGAACAAGAGGTATCACATTTCTTTTTATCAAAAAATAAACAAAATAAAAGAACGTGGGGTGACGAGTTGCTGTGCGTTTGGTTTGCATTCGGGCATAATTAGCTGTACATTCATCGAATGGCACATATTAAATATTTGTATTCGAAGACAAACTAAATAAAGGAATAAAAAGATTTAATATGCCTTATTCGATAAAGATAAATTAATCCTGAAAGCAAATCAAAGGCGATAAAGTGTCGACAAAGTCGGCGTGTAATCGCATTCCGAGATACAAAGAGAAGTCAGATAGAATTGTTAGAAAAGCTAATGTGATGCAAAGAATGGAGATTGAAATGTCCCTTACGGGGTGATATCGATCCGAACCCAATAGGAGGGTTGAAAATCGTAGCTGAAATAGTAACGCTAAAGTATACCGGTTCGTATACCTTTGTCACAAATACACACTGATTATAAAATTCATCCGCTAGCGTCTGAAATAGTAATGTATGAGTATAGACTGCGGATTTTATATATTTATAACCATAGACCAGAAATAACAATTACAGTAGAACTCCGTTCATGTAAACCTGTCCGGTGACGCGTTGACTCGCATAATCAGCTGGTTCGTGCAACAGGATAACTGCTAATCGGCCAACTGCTAAAGATTTCGTTCGCATAAACGAAGTTCCACTGTATCCGACAAATTTTGATGAAACAAATCGTTAAGAAAAACGTGTTTGTTAGTCCAGTTGAAGCCGTTAATCTTGAAAAGTGAAAGAATCTTTTCAGAGAAAAGCGCGAGATTAAAAGATCTGAATGTTTTGTTACAAATTCAACACCACAGACGACGAAAACAAATAAATTCCGTCGCAGATAAATTGCTGTGCAACGATTCTTTTTTTCATGTCGATTACAACAATTGCGACCACTGTTTATGACTCGATAGATGAACCGAGAAACGACGAAAGCATAAGAGAACTTAAAAAAAGAAAACACTGTTGTACCGTTATGAAAGTAATCAAGAAGTTAGTGTATTCATTTGAACTTAAAGAAGAGAACTTAAAAAAGAAAACACTGTTGTGCTATCATGAAAGTGATCAAAGAGTTAGTGTGTTCACACTAACACACTGTTGTACTATCATGAAAATGATCAAGGAATTGGAACATTCGTTTGACGTCTCTTTTCGCGCGGGCAATGTTTATTTTCCATAAAGATCCGCAGCCTATCTATGAGTCTATCGCTTTGATCTATCAAGACCAAGTTCCAACTGGGTGTCAATGTAGTTGTCCACCGTTTCGCTGAGCTTTGAACTCGGTGACCAGTGCAACCAGTTAAACAAATCAAATGATCATGCAACAGTCGTAGAACGTGGAGGAATAGAAACGTACAGTGTCGCTAGGGATGTTTTTCGTTGACAGTTCGCTAACTTTCCCTGGTTTCCCGTACTCGTGGTTGTTCGTTATCGACGGCGACCGGGACACCGTGCCGGTTAGGGGTGTCTCGGCCGACAACGGCGTGATGGCTTCGTCGACGGCGTGGCCGGTGGTGCGACTACTTTCGGCACCCTCGACATCGTCGTCGTCATCGTCGTCGTCGTCGTCGTCGTCGTCATCGTCGTCCCGACCGCTCAGCCACCAGGCGGTGCACCACATTTTGAATCGGATCCATGGTTTGTATTTCTGCAATTGCGGACAAACCCGACGGAGTCAGATTAACCCGAGCAGAAGCGTAAACGCGTGAAAAAAATTGAGATGGAAGGATGCGTTGCAAGCGAGACAATGAGAACACGTTTTAGCAGATTCGCGGGATGACCCAGTGAAGGAAGAAGTGCACGCGAAATGATAACGATTTTTAGTACGAAGATGTCGTGATGAAATGAATCCGCGGATTTTATGCATGTATGGTAAAAATGAATGGCTGAAACATAAAATTGCGAAGACATAAGAACAATTTCATAATATTGTGACAGTATTTTCAATTTATCGGAGTTATCGGAGAGGAGACAATTCATTTCTCCTCGATTTCTGTCTCTCGTAATCGGCAAGCGACAGTTTCGTGACAAATAAAGCTTGCCAGCTTCAATCTAAGCGAAATCTCAGCGAAATCTAAACAGCAAGTTCTTTCTTTCGATAATAATTGCAACAGATTGTTACGTTAACAATTTGAAATTCGATTGATCGTTATTTGTATTGCAACAAATCGATTTCGCCGTAAATGCATAAAAATTCCCATTCTGGTAATAGTAAAACAGTGTTGCTTGGCTGATTCTGTCTGAGTGTATCATTCTGAATACTTACTGTTTTGAATTGAGAATACTGTCTATCAAGATATGAGACTGCCATATGTGTCGAATTCATGTCGCTTACGCCTGTGCTAGACTCGCTCCTAGGCCTCCGGCTGTCATCTGTGTCCAACCCAATACTATTTAAAACCACAAAAAGCAATTATATATTAATTACTGTAATACAGTAATATAGTAGTACAGTATAAGTACTGTACAATTTTTAATAATAATTTTATTTCAATCCGTACGCTCATATTAAAGTGTTTGGTAGTTTTACAGGTACATACTTAGTTTCTGCTATTACACTTCATGTTGGCAATCTTAAATTTAAATGTAACTATGATGTAAAAAGGGGAAACGAAACCAGGCTAAATTAACCTACTGTATATTTTATACATGTATATATTAATGTAATAAACAATATAAATATTGTACATTATTGTTTATACATTAATATATAAACATGTATAAAATATAATATAAAATAAAATAGCAATATATTTTTATATAGATATATGTATATGTATACACAGTTGTATTTAACATGAATTGTAATATTGAAGCAAAGCTTAAATAATAAAATATTATTATTATTATTATACCAAAAATAAAAATCATACGTAAGTGAAATAAAATTATTACGCGTGTTCAATATATATTTGATATATTTAAATCAAAGGGGACGTAAAAAATGACCATTTCTGATAGAGTATCATTTTGGTGTGGGGGTGGTATATTCATTTGAATAATTGAACTGAGATCAGTTTAAGTTATTAACCTAGATGAACTCCTTTTACTGGCGTCCTCAGTGCCCGCCTGCAAATACGGCAGGGTCTTCTGCCGATTCGTGGTTTTCTTCCATATCCGCCAGTAAAGGATTATCATCACCGTGACGGGTACGTAAAACGCGGCGATCGCGGTACCAAATGTAATGTAATGATTTGTCTCGATGAATTGAATGTAGCAAGCCGTCGGTGGCACTGTTCTTTGGCCCTCGATGTACGGCCATGCATAGATCCACGGCGGCCATAGAAGCAACGAAATTCCCCATGCAGACGCTGAAATCGAAATGATGTTCCTTTGAAATGCGTACGTAACCGCGCCAACCATTTTAGGTACACGTTTACAAATATTATAATTTACGTGGATACATCGTCGTCGTCTATAGATACTAATATAAATATGCAATTAATTTGTACGATGTCAGATTTTCATTTACGAAGACGATACAAATGCTACACGCTAGAGAACTGGTGAACTACCCTAATTAATTCTTCGTAATATATATAAATAATTTGTTGTAGCGTTATAAGTATGTACATAATTTGTGATACTGTACAAATGAGTGCATACAAGCAATTTGTCGTACTACACAAATAATTTGTTCTTCAACGCAAGTAATATTTGCTATGCTATACAAATAATTTCTCGTATACAAATGTTGTCTACAAATAACTTGTGGTTAGATAGATGCAAGTAACTCGTTGGCTACAAATAATTCATATAGAAAGTAAATGATCTGTAGATCATTATCTCTTCTAAAAAATGGACCGTGTAGAGGTCACATGAAGTTAAAGAAAACGTTTCTAATGGACACGACTCGTGCTACGATTTGGCCCTTAATAATTTTCTAACAGAATGCGATTAATTTTGTTCCTCGTACGTCTCGTATATAGAAAAATAGAACAACATTTACATTTAGTCGATTATGCACGAAAATATCTGACACCTTGCTACAGCGCAACGGCGTTGGTAGCCGTTTCAGTGATCGAAGTCAACTCACCGATCATGATGGCCGCCTTCGAAGTAGTCCTCCTGACGCGATAGGTGAGAGGCCACATTATAGAGAAGTACCGGTCGAAGCTGATGATCATAAGATTCAAAACCGACGCGTTGCTGGCCAGGTAATCCAACGCCAGCCACGTGTCGCACACGTGCGGTCCTAGCGGCCAATAGCCGAGCACGGTGTAAACCGTGAACAGAGGCATGGAAATTAGACCGATCGCGAAATCAGCAACTGCCAAACTGAACAGAAAGTAATTGGAGGTAGTTTGCAATTGTTTGTCGATCTTGAACGATATCATCACCATGATATTCCCGACGACGGTTACCAAGCTGAGCATGACGGCGATCATTACTATCATCGAACGCTCCCATATCCCGTACGCGTATGGCTCTCCGCCGCAATCAAGACCGTTGGTTGCATCGTCGTAGTTCTCGGTGCTGGAAAAGTCCACGATTACGGTAACATTCATGTCTGGAACGTGTTCGCGTTTCCCGCAGACTTCTTCTTTCCTTTTTTTCTCTCTCTCCCTCTCTCTCTCTCTCTCTCTCTCTCTCTCTCTCTCTCTCTCTCTCTTTCTCTAGTCGTCTCTGATCACGTTCGTTATTCCATTCTCGATTGAACGACATTCCCGAAGTGTCCACCGTCGATTCCGTTCCTCTTCGTTCTTCGCACGTTCAGACGCGACGACGAGCATTGTCTTGTCATTTTCGGCTATCTCGCCGAAACGAATCCGTCCAATCCGCAACGTTCTATATCTCCTCGCCCCGACTAAAACCTCCTGTCCACACCGCGTTATCCAGTTCCGTATCAACTCCACCCCCCTTCTCGCGGTTTCCCTCGCGTTTATGTTTCCTATTTAAAAACACGTCGTTCGCATATAAAAGTGTTTTTTCCTAGTTACTTTTAATTGTATCGCTTATTAATTCCTATACACTTATATCCCCTCTCCCTTTGTTTTCGTACAGCTTCCTCGTTTTTCTTCTCTCCTTCTCTATTTTAGTTTGTTATTTAAAGCATCTTCCGTTTGTCGTTGTAGTAGAAACATCTCCGAAGTTCTATTCTCTCATTTCTATTTCGTAGTTCGTAATTTGTCTACTGCTTCTGTAAAAATTTGCTCTATTCCTTCACGAAAAATATTTTTCTTCTTCTCCTTTGGCTCTTCTTCTTTCTCTCTCCCTCTCCCTCCCTCTCTCTCTCTCTCTCTCTCCCTCCCTCTCTCTCTCTCTCTTACTCTCTCGCTATCTTTTTTCTCCTCTCTTTTTGTTAGATTACTATCCTCTGTCCGTACGTATTTAGAAATACTTTAGCTCTGTTATGTTTCTGTTCGTGTCACGTGTCGGCCGAGCGCATCTTCGTTCTCGTTTTCAAACTGTCTGCGAATTTCTATTCTTTCCACCTCCCTCTTCTGTACATCCACGACGATATTCCCGTGCTCGTTTCTCTTCACCGAATCGAGGAACACGTCAACTGCATAGCTCCTTCAATTTCCACATCGATCGCGTACTATCTGCAACCAGAGATTCATTGCTCCGTCTTATTGCGAAGATGTATCCTGCAGATTGGCACTAACACGCGTTCGTACGGTATCGCCGATTTTTAACGAGTACTTCCGACGAACGTAAACTCGAGATGGGCCAACTTGTTGCATAGGAAACGTTCGATTTTTAGCGGCGAGGTAAACGAACAGCTTTAAACCGTGCCGATTTTATTAATCGGGCCGGCGCGAATGTTTATTTTCGCAACGCAGGAACGAGAACAACTGAATTGCGACTGCTCTACGCAAATGCTATCCATTGCAGGAAACAGTTATCTAATGATCTTCAAACGTCTGTTCCTCATCGAGCTATAAATACACAGTGCCTAGATAATTTCACTGCATTAACCTATAATACAGTGTATCATAATAATTCAACATTGTGTATCAATTTTTCTAAGATCAATTTTTTAATATCAATTTTCTGATTTTCTAATATACGTGTTCTAATTTTAATTTTCTACTATCCATTTTCTAATATCCATTTTTCAATATAAATTTTCTAATGTCAATTTTCTAATATCCATTTTCTAATATCAATTTTCTAATATTCATTTTCCAAAATCCATTTTCTTTCATCTTCTTTCATAACAAAATTGATATTAGAAAATTGAAATTAGAAAATGGATATTAGAAAATTGAAATTAGAAAGTGGATATTAGAAAATGGATATTAGAAAATTGAAATTAGAAAGTGGATATTAGAAAATGGATATTAGAAAATTGAAATTAGAAAATGGATATTAGAAAATCAGAAAATTGATATTAGAAAATGGATATATATGGATATATATATTTTCTAATATAAATTTTCTGATTTTCTAATATCCATTTTCCAAAATCCATTGTCTACTACCCCTCTTCGAACGTCGACAAACGTGACCAAATTTCTCTTCGTTTGCACTTATTATTATTAAAGAATTAATGAAGGATCATATCGCCATGCTAGTGCAAATAACACGTCACAACGTATAAATAGAACGAGTGCGATTTTCACACTCGTTTCACCTACCGTCTCGATATGTACTCAGAGCAACAGAGCCATATTTCTATCTCAGTTTCCAATGACGTCTTCGGGACCCATCCACCTACTATAAAATAATCATGAACAATCGTTAATGCTACATCGAAATGGGACTATAGAACACATCCGCAAGTATCTTCTGTGATTCTATTATAAATGGGTATAAGTTCGGCGAGATCCCGGCACTCTATTGTTATGAGAACAAACGGCTTATGGAATTGCTATTCTGACTATCTGCTATGGCGTGTCTCGTCGCAGCAAAATGGCGGCGGTTTCGCAACAATGTAAATAGCTGGAGCGTTCCGGAATTTGCAAAGACGGTGACGGATTTACGGTTCTGCCGCTTTTGTGGGTGCGGGGGGGGGGGGGATATTTTCGTTTAAATGGATGACAAATATTCGTTAGCGTCGTGCTTCGATAGGTGGAATAGATTGTCGACATTGAAAGTTTAGGAATTTCGTCGTAGACGGCAGGTCCAACTTCGAATCGACGTTTCTACTTCAGGATTTATTTGTATTATCAATTACCGAATGTGCCGAAGTGTTGTCGAGAAAATCCGTTGAATATTTTTATGACAGTTTTTTCTTACTTATTCGAGATTATCTTGTCTAGTCTATTTATTCTGGTCTTTCCTAATTTATTTTTCTTATACCTTGGCATCATTGCCACAATGATATCAATTACCAAACTGAAAAGAAGTTTGCAATATCAACCACGTGATATCTCTTGTCAATTTACTCGTTGTTCGAACAATTTGTCCTTCCACGAAATGACGAAATTAATTTAATAAACTAAACAAATTGTGAACCAAAATATCGTTGAGCGAAGTGCAAACATTTTGAGTTTCTCTTGCTAAGCAAATTCAATTTTAAGCGTTACGATGTCATACGACCGTAACAAACGATTCCATAACTGTTTAGAATCGAAGAAGGTAATCGTGATTCTTCTGCATAAAAAATACTAAGATAAATCGCGAAAGTTTCATTGATCAGGGCCGTTCATTTTTTTCAGATGCGGGGTTAATGCAAAGCTGAGTGTCAGCGAACTTACTGTTAACAATATTGCAGGTAAGTGTGCATCTATGCATGTTTCCTGTGTGTAAATGTGTCTTTGTGCTACTGCGCGCTCTGCCGCCTGGAGTACATACAGCACGCATGGAAAATTGGACCCTGGAAATTCAATGTTCGCATCTTAACACATCATCTACCGCCAATGATTTCGGTAACTATCGAAAGTCTACGATTTACAGTTGATAATTTCTTAATAAATTGATTAGCGATATTGAGACTATTGCTATCGTACCAAAAAGTCGGCTTCAGTGACGTGATGTAAGTTTCGTTTGTGATTATTATACATATTAGATAAAAGTTAGTAAATTAGTAATATATTAATTAGTAATAATTAGTAATATATTAATAAATTAGTAATAATTGGTAATATGTTAATTAGTAATAATTAGTAATATATTAATAAGTTAGTAATATATAGAATAAAGTTAGTAATTAGATGAAAAAGATAGTGAGATAAAAGTTTGTTTAGGTTTCCCTCAGTATAGCAGAGTAATTAAAAATCTTATTAATAAGCTTGCGGTAGAGAAAGCATTAAGAAGGTAGCGAATTGTGAATTTTTGGCAAAAATATAACCGAGTATGCTTAGAATCGTTTGCAATTTTATTTACTTATTTATTATTATGCGAATTTTTCAGAAAATTCACCCTAATTTTCCGTCGTAAACAAAATGGATAATTTTGAAAGAGGAGATACGATTATTCGATTATTACTCGTTTTTATAATTATTGACAATCGGCAGCTATAAAAATGAGCCGTGAATAATCGTATCCCCTCTTCCCAAATTGTCCATTTTTGTTTAAAAGCTGAAGGCAAATTGGGGAGAATTTATCTGAACTTCTTTCACGCTTTGATTTCTGCTACAAAACTGAACGAAGCAATCGGAAATTTCAGTTAATCGTCAGTAACAATATTTATACCCTGGGTTCAAGTGGACCCAGCGTTAAAGTGTCAAAGATCCGACATTCCCAAAGAACTTTTTACTAATTGAAACAAAGCAGAGAAAACCTGATACTTGGAGCCACCGGTAATCCCGGTGCACCAGTTAAGGATTAAATTGATATAATAAGTCAGATTCATTACCATTTAAGGAATCCATAAAAATATCCAGCGCACTGTTGCCATCGTCGACGGAAGTTTCCCTTAGAATGTGCACGTCAGTATATGCAGCGAAACGGGAAGAAGTCATTTTGAACATTTATGAAGTCCCTGTAACATTCGAAACGTTCTTTTAAATATGCGTACGATGGAGTTTGATGCTTTAAATAAAAATCGCAAGATATATAAACGAAAAATACGTTGACTGTATTGTGTGTTCACTGTAAAAAATATACAATTATTATTATAAATATACGTATAGTTCATTTTCTTCGAGAAATTGAACGTCACATAGTGCTAGGCTGCGAAGACGAATATTCAGTATAAAGTATGTCACTTTTAATTTAAAACTTCTCATGAACCATTGATTATTTTAACCTTATACCTTAATACTTTATTACGCAGATCGTTCCGAAGAATCGATTCGTGTAAAAAATATGCATTCTATTTTAAAAAAGAATTGACCTTCCAATCTTCGAAGATTCTGCAACTTATAACAAAACGATTCTATCCCTAGAAATAACGAAGATAACGGAAGCAATCGTATGCGATAGTTACCACAGTAACTCGACTAATTTTAACTATGGTAAATGCGACGAAATCGGCAAGCTATTGTAATCACTCATGGTACAAATCTAGTTGAGTATATCATCGATACAATTTAATAAAGACGTTAAAATAAAAGAAAGAATATGTAATGTAATGTAAATGAACGAAAATTGCATATCTTTCAGGGAGTCATTGTAAAATAGAAGCTTCAAACTTCAATGAATGTAGCTTATAATGATATATTTACTTGCTACAAACGTTTATTAAATAATATAAAGCATTATTAGATTATATAATGTGTGTCTATTGAATAATATAATGTACGTATATTGAATAATATAATGTGTGTTGTGCAGATGTTGAGAGAGAAAGAATTACGCGTGACAAAAGTAGAAGCTTCGAGCTTTAAAATGAGTCAAGGTTCATCGTCGTGCGATATTTTTTAACGAAATTATGAATGACGACAATTCGTCGAAAATCGGGAAAGTGTTGTTGAGACTTTTTTGAAGCTGCCGCATATCGAGCGTCCGCGTTATCTTGTCCATCATCGCGTGACATCCCCTATACGGTGGTTAAATTTACAACTGTTCCAAATTAGCTTACTCACCCCTGCCTCATTCTAGTTCCGCTATAAACGCGAAAGCTTTCAAAAATCAGACCTTCGGTTATCGATATTCTCTCGGCCGATAAATGCCCCCGAGTACGAAAGACATTTATTATTCGAAGAGTTGGCAGCCACGTATCCTCTAAATTCGTATTTCTAGTGATACAACATGGTTTATTATTAAATGGCATGCCCACACGTCAATAACTTTACATTAGTTCTCCTTATTCAGGCTATAAATAATTTTCCGATATTGTTTCGTCCTCGCACGCGTAAGCGCCTGTAAACTGTGTTAAGCGATAGTTCTCTTCGTTTTATAAATATTATCTTAGGAGTGGATTAGCTATGGCCGATGGGAAACGCCGCGTAATAATATCTTTGGTGGCCTGATTCGAATCGATTTTTTCTCTTTGCTATTCCTTACTCGTAGAGTGACGTATACAGGGTGTCCCAAAATTATTGTACAAGCGAGAAACGAGGGGTTCCTGAGGCCATTTTAAGTAACTTTTTCCTCAGCGAAAATGCGATCCGCGGCTTCGTTTACGAGTTATTAACGAAAAACAATGACCAATGAGAGGCGAGCTCGGCTCGCGCGAGACGGCCGAGCCAATCAGCGGAACTGGGCTTCGATCGCTCGTTGGCTCGGCCGCCTTGCGCCAGCTAATCTTGCCGCTCATTGGTCAGTGTTTGTTCGTTAGTAACTCGTAAACGAAGCCGCGGATCGCATTTTCGCTGAGGAAAAAGTTACTTCAAATGACCTCAGGAACCCCTCATTTCCCCCTTGTACAATAATTTTGGGACACCCTGTAGATCGCTGCGATAGTTTGAAGGAAACGAGACTGCCTGCTCTGCGAACGCTCTAAAAATTGTTTTCTGTCCAATGGAAATATGGCGGTGCTGGGTTTCATTCGGAAGAATATACTGATTCATTAGCGACACACCGATCGATAAGTTGCATAGTGCTTGGATATTTGATATATGGGACAATATGATTGCGGATATTTTACGAAAATTCGTGACACGTGAAATAAAAGAAACACTGAATTATCAATACACTTCCCAAAACAGAAAAATGTAAGCAAACCGGAAACAGCGCTATACGAAAGTCTATGAACAATTACCAGGAAAGTATTAAAATCAAATGTTGCATCTCAATGGTGATAAACTAGACCGCGATTACTTTATGCAAAACAAAAATTATCTACGCCGATTATAAGATGATAAAACACAATTATAAGATTCTCAATAATTTTAATTAGTGCGTCAAACTCACAGTCCTTGATAAAATCGTAAGAAACCATGAAGCGAATCATCTCGAAACTTTCAGGCCAATTTGCCCCATATTCAGAAAGTATGTACAATTTTTTTTCGTTGAGAAACAGCTGGTACATTACGTGCAAGTAAACATTTGCGTACGATCTCGTCGCTGACGATCGATTCTTCGCGCAAAATAAAAATTGTCTGCATCTGTTGCAAGAGACAGATGAGACACTTAGGAAGCTAATCGTTCCTTTGATAGTCATAGTAGGCCTATTTATGAATGAGCAGTGCCATGTGTGGATCGTCTTAGATCGATCTATTTACATGAAAAAACGTGTTTCGGTAACAACTGTGACGTAAACCCTGTTCCCGCGGCTCTTAAAAGTCGCGGACAGAAGCGACTCCGGGATTCTAAGGCCCTTAGGCCAGGCCACGCACTGCCGTACGAACGTACGACACAAAACGCGATGTTCGAGAATTCGATTCGGAACGCGACGAGATTTGTTCGAGCGCCAGGCACCGGAAGGGTGCCACATAAAACGCAATGATCTTCCAGTCGGTCTCGAATTGCCGACTTTCCCGAGAAAGAACGGACGCGACAAGGATCCAAGGTTCGAGCACGGGAATAACAAAAAGCAGCCCTCGCGGTTGGGCGGATCTCGTAGAACGAAATCAATTCTCGGGAACAGGGCTTACAAGATTGGGCTCACAATCCTCGTCAATTATTACAAATTAGACGGCCGTATCCGAGAGCCCGCGCTCTTCACACAATTTTCGCGACGCGACGGTTCTTCGTTCGCAGCGCATGCTTGTCGATAGGGCAAGTGCATTACTGCGGTTTCCCAATGAAGGAGAACATTGACAGAGAAAATAAGACCTTTTACGCCAATAAATTGACAACTTGAGCTATACCTATTATTCTTTAACTTGAATATTTAATTCTCTCAAAATATTGGATCTCTGAAAGCTCAAAGAGCCTAGCCGATTAAGTTGGTCGAAATTGCTCTTAGAGGTTTTTTAATGAGTATAATACCGTTCGATAGCTGACCAAAGAATACTCGTCCGTGCAAAATTTCAACCCTGTAACTTGTCCGTGAGGGTAGTTGCAGGGTAAATTAGATTTGGACGCTTTTCCGCTCATTTTTCCCCTTCGGTGACTTTTTAAAATTTTGAAAAAAATGTGGCTTATTTCGGACATCGAGCCGCGTAATATAGAATTTTTTCAGTTTTTTCGGTTGCAAGCTGTGGTTATCAAAAATGGAAAACCAGAAAAGGTCGGATTTCAGTAGTAACTTTCTTCCTCGCAGCAAAAACGTCGATAAATTCGTTTTTCATTTTTTTTTTTTAATGATGACGCAGTTCTACGAAAAATCTGAGAAAAATTGATCGCACTGCTTGTGATAGTACCTTATCAGGGAATTAATATCAGGATGGCATAGCATTTTTGTTTTCGGGATATCTTCAATTTTCCGATTATAAAATAAATTATAAAATAACTTCTAAAAATACCGCTAAAACGAACAGTTTATTATGAATCGTCGAAATATAAATGTCTTTCGAATCAGCGTTTACAGCTACCGTTACGAGTATTTCATAAGACTCGACGTTCCCATAAGCTTCCGAATATCAAAAGTCAATAAATGAATTAAAACTGCGATTGCGGTTACTAGTACGTCATAAATTATCAATATTAAATATACAAAAAATTACGAGATTCATTTTTAGAAGATTACACGCTGTAAAATGTTAGATTTGATTACTTTTACAAAATACCGCAATATTCGGGCCGTCCGCGGTAATACCCACACTCACCCTACGAGAATTTCCGGCGATCGTACAGCAACCCGATGCATCGCAAATACTTTCGAGGAGACACGAAATCGCGAAGCGTAGATGTCCGACGCAATTACGAACGACTGCCGTTTTGCGTTCCCGAGACGGAACGGAAAATCGACGCGCACGGCACGTGAAGTTCGAATGCACGCGCACAGGAGCGCGGTAACGGCCGCCGCAATGTTACCCGACCGAAACGCGAAGTCCGAGAACACGACGAGAGTCACCGCACTCTTTCCTCTCTCAGCTACATCCCCGAGGAGAACGGCCGAGTTCGAAATTTCAGCCGAGACCAACGCGAACCGAATGTAGCGTGAAACGAGAAGCGTCTCGGCGCCCGAAACGAGAAGCCGTTTGGTTCTTGCGCGACGATTTTCCGAGCCAGCTCGCGAGGAATAAGAAAATATCACTGGACGATTCTCACTGTTTCTCGCGACCATTCGTTTGCCTGGTTGATTATCTCAAGGCAACAAGATCGGGCCCGGCTGGAATCGGGGCCAGAACGTAATTCGCGATCGCACTCGCAATTTAACCAAAGACGAAGACGCGTCGTCGCGTCACGGCAGATCGCACGGCAGTGTCGCTTCCGGGTTTCGACAATGCAAGGAGAGCTTCTCCTACGTACCCCACCCGACTCATTACCATGGATTAGCCTAATTGGCCTGCCTCGCGCGCGTAATACGAACGCAAAGGATCGCCCCGAAGTGATCTCTGCGGCCCCGGCCTGTTTTTACCATCGCCTTGGCGACCGAAGGATGAATTGTCCCCGGGCCGCGTCCACGCCACCCATTCATGCAGAATCCCTTCTTGCACGGGGCGAGACATCAGCAAGACGACGGAAATGGAGCCCTTGACGATTTTGGTG